AAAATCTGTAATTCTAAGTGTCATAAAACTTCCACGCTCATAAAACAACAGTACTTCAAGTAGTGTTTTCTGTGGAGTACATGTAGTTCAGCCTTGAGGCTGAAAGGAGTCTGACTTTAAAAAAACTTGCACACACTTTGTATGCATCAAACAAATTCATCTCAGCTGACTTTGCACAGTCCAACTATTAACCACATAAAAAAAATTGCAAGATTTTTATGTGGAAGTAGCATTAATATCCAAAACAACTGTTTTAAACTGCATGGCAGGCCTCTATGTTGTGAAAAAGTACCTTGGGGGCACTGACCGAGGTCTAAAAGGCTTATTTTTTCCTCACCCCAAATACGAGAAAACAACACTTTAAGGCAATTCTGTAAGCTCATTTATGCATCAAAATATTCTGGAAACTGCAATAATAATTTGTTCAGTAAGATTGTTGTTTGTTCCTTTGATACAAAGCTTTATACAAAGTTTCAGACACATGTAGAAAAATAATCTTGTTGAATTCAGTAAGACTGAAATACCATGAAATGGCTGCAGCTCAATTTTCTTAAACAGGTGTAGAAAACAGTTACGCTCCCGAGGATTAAGTTCTATGTTAAGTTAATAGGATGATTTTTATTCACATTTTTGTATTTATATTTGCAAAAGATCATGGCTGATACATTTGAAAATTAATTTTTGTGCCACGGCACAGTTTTGTAAGGGCCCCCTACTGGCACAGTGGGTTAAACCGCTGGGCTGCTGAACTTGCTGATCAAAAGGTCGTCGGTTTGAATCCAGGGAGCAGGGCGAGCTCCCACTTTTAAGCCTAGCTTCTGCCAACCTAGCCGTTCAAAAACGTACAAATATGATTAGATCAATAGGTACGGCTTCTGCAGAAAGGTAACTGTGGTCGAAGCAGTCATGCTGGCCACATCACCAAGGAGGTGTCTATGGACAATGCCGGCTCTTTGGCTTAGCAATGAAAATGATCACCACCCCCTAGAGTTTGACACAACTAGACTTAATGTCAGGGGGAAACCTTTACCTTTTGTGCACAGTCTTGTAATAGATTTTCAAATTAAATTATCCTGTAGTGCCTTTTGAACTTCTAGGATTGGTACTAGTTTAAGAGGAACTCATTCAGTCAACTTAACATTTAAAAAGGCATCTTTATTTGTTTTTGTTTTTTTAAAGGAAGATAAATCCTCATTTGAGTCCCTTTGGGAAGATAGAGCAAAATATAAATAAAATTGTTTATTATTATTATTATTATTTAAGATGAATGTAATATTTTGGATATATCCTCTAATTGAGGGTAATAGCATTACTTCAGACTCAAGACCCACTTTTAGTAATGATCTGCAAAAGACTTGAACCATCAGAAAGGAAAGGTGAGATCAAACAATACTTCTTATGCACAATTTGTGAACAGACTAGATAAGCTTGAAGTCCCAGAGCAGGAAATAAATTTGAATGTATAGATGCAGTGGAGACCTGATGGGATGGCTCCCATGATTGAAATATGACAGGATATTACTTATTCAAAAAAGAAAGGTGTGGCAGAAAATGAATGACTACTTTGCTTCTAATCATTCTCTTTCTTCTAAAATCAACCCCACTACACAGTTTCTTTATTTTCCTCATTAAAGATTCAGACATTATGGCAGTATTATGATGAGCCTTGCGCTCATCTGCTCTTCTCTCATTGGTAGTTGCATACATACACACACACACTCACAATGTTGAATACACTGTGTTTCCCAAATGGTTAGTCAACTTTAAGTTAGTTAAAACAAGCCAGCCTGAAATTAGAAGTTATGAAACATGCTTATTTCAACTTGACATTCTCAGTATCAGACACTGTTCAAAGTTCCAATCATGCTAAATGAGCTGTGGTTTGTTTTAAGTAGAAACCTTGTTATAATGGAGAATGAATATGTATGGAAATGCATTCCATGATTGTGGGAACTTTTAAAATTGTGTTTGAGCTTTGCTTACAGTTAGGCAGTTCTTTTGTGTTTGACATTTGAGAATGTGCCAGGGCACAGACACATGTAGTGTATAGGGAAAGAATGTCTTTTATCTGCATAGCCGCCTTGAGTCTCCCACCTGTCTAGGTCAACCTGTCTAGAAAATGTTGACCTAGCATTGACTATATATCCACTAGGTTACTGTAATGTACTCTACAGAGGGCTGTTTTTGAAAATGGCCCTGATGCATCAGTTGAGACAAAACATCGGCACTTAAAATCTAGAGAAGGATATATGATTCTACACTAGTTCTATGCAAGTTGCACTAGTTACTAGTGCATTTCTCAGACTAATTCAGGGTACTATCTTTGACCTTTGAAGCACTAAATTTATTGTTTAGGACCAAGTTATCGGAAGGATTGCTTTCTGGGTTGTTGTAGGTTTTTCGGGCTATATAGCCATGTTCTAGTCATGCTTCTCTTTTGTTAATGTTTTGTTTTTGATAGCTGTCAGATGTTTTAAATACATATTTAAAATATATAGTTTGAAACATGGAAGATTTTAGACGATGCTACTGAAAAATGAGATTAACAGGAAGATATTTGTTATGTTATGTTTTTATAATGTTTTAAAATGTTTTAATTGTATATTGTGGACTGTTATGGCATTGAATGGTTGCCAATTTGTAAGCCGCCTTGAGTTTCCTTCGGGCTTGAGAAAGGCGGGATAAAAATATCTTAAGTAAATAAATAAATAAATGCATTTTAAAACATATTGGAAAGTGAGGGACAAAAAGAAAGCTAGCTCACAGTGAGACCAGTAAAGATTAAACCATTATAACTATAAGCATATAGATTAATTTAAGCAATCCATGTCAAAGAAGAAGCCAAATAGAGAGAGCTATAATAAAATAAATAGATATAGAATCAGAGTGGGAAGGGATCATACAAGCATTCAGATCCAACCCTCTGCTCAGTGCAGGATTTCTAGCTACAGGATTTCTAGTAGGAGCTGTCCAGCATCATTTTAAGATGTCCCTAGAAGAAACTTCCACCACCTTTATAGGCAATAGATTCTATTACTGAACCACTCTTACGGTCAAGATATTCCTTCAAATGGCCAATTGAGATCTACCCTCATGTAACTTCACACATTAGACTTGGTCCTACTCCCCGGCAGCAGAAGACAAGCCTGCACCCTCAATGTGACATATTTCATGGTAAAAATGCAATTATATTACCACTCAATATTTTCTTTGCCAAGTTCAGCCTTTGATATGTTTTGTTTGCCGTACCTGATATCATCTTTGTTGACCTTCTCTGTACTTGCTCCAACTTGATATATCTTCCTGAAAATGTGGTGCATGGAATGGAATGCAGCACAACAGATAACTCCTACCCAGCACAGACTATAGTGAGACTATTACCTCCCTTGACTTAGAAATGATGGTTCTATTAATGCAGGCTTAAATAGTATTTGCCTTCTTTGCTGTATTGTTCTCACCTATGATAATCAGATAACGGTAGAGCAATGATACTTTCAGACCATTGAGTAAGAGTAAAAGATGGCTAATGTTTATTTTTCCAATTTTGATGTATAAGTCACTTTTCTATATTTTGAGATAAGTCCTACACCTTTTGTGCATTTAATATTTACATCTCATATATCTTATAGTGAAGCTCATAGATAATACAGTTGAGGGTGGGTAGGAAACTGGATCAAAAAGGTTGGATAAAAAAAGGTTAGGGAATTCATTGTACCTGAAAGAAAAGTAATTGTTTCAGACAAGGAAAATGCTGCAAGAGAATCAGGATCTTTAGATTTCATAACATATTCAGAATGGAGATTTAAAAATAATTTTGCAATTAACAATTTGCTGTTGATAAAGTTGTGCGACTTCAAGTTTTTTCTGACCTTAAGGTGAACCTGTTGGGTTTTTTTTGACAAGATTTATTCAGAGGGGTTTTTGCTTTTGCCTCCCTCTGAGACTGAGAGTGAGTTGCCCAAGGTCACTCAGCGAGCTTCCATAGCTGAGGAGAGAATTGATGTTCAAACCACTGCTCCATGATAATTGTTTTAAATATGTGTGTATGTGTGTGTATTGAATTAATTTTTGTGGAATGCTATTTTCATGCCTCTAGGTGACACAGTTTTAAAAATTACGTAATGATCTTTTTAATGTTCCAGTCTTATCTGTGTTATTCTTGAAAACTCCTGATATTTCAGTAGACAATGCATAATACTGTTATAGTAAGCAACTGTTTAAACCTCATAGGCAATTGCAGTTTAATTGAAATAAAGATCCCAGTATTTCTTAAAACATTTCTGTAGAGTGCTGTTTCTTTGCAGCTAGCCTGTAATTAGTTGAGTGACCTCCAGATGCCATCCTTAAATTTCATTTGTACCTGTTACAAGCTCTTCAACCAATAAACCTCACAAAACAGACTAACAATAGGCATTGACAGTTACTGCTTTGCAGCAGGAGCCCCGACTAAGCAAATTTTAGATTTGTGCGAAGATTGCAGGATGGCATATATGGAAAATATGGTATCTTTCTGGAGGAAGACTGCAATTTTAGATTTGTGCAAAGATTGCAGGATGGCATATATGGGTAATATGGTTTCTTTCTGAAGGAAGACTGAAAAACATTTCCAAAAAGTAGTGTCAAAAAGAACCTCTACTTGGTTTCATCCATGTCAATTAGTTAGTTTCATCCATGGTATAGATTGTTTTTGATTCCACTGTCAAACATATTGTCCTTGTAGCTTATCTGGTGTACTTACTTAGAGACTGCTCTGAGAAATGTTTCATTTTGGGTGGAAATAAGTACTTGGATCCTTTGGTTGCTTACAAATTTATATACTTGTTTGATGATACAACTGAAATACATAACTTTTTCAAAGAAAGCTTTCATGGCATACGCATACCAGTGTGAGTTGAGAATACTGAAGATGTGACAGATAAAATGAAGATCCTATTCTTTCATGTATCACTTCAATATGAAAATGCCATTCTTTTTCTAAATAAAACACTTTTCTTTTATAGTTATTGAAATCATGAATCCTGTTTATAGTCCTGGTTCTTCTGGGGTTCCCTATGCAAATGCCAAAGGAATTGGTTATCCAGGTGTGTAACATAATCGTTTATGTATGTAACCTTTCTGTTCTGTAGACATACAGTAAGTTTAATTGTAGGCTGCGCTTTGCAAGAAGCAGCAGTTTATTAAAGGAAAGGAGTGCATTGAAATCCTGATTTTTTGAAAGTTTGTTTGTGTAGAATTAACTGAAAGTATGTACAAGCACACATACTTTTGATGTATTTTTTCATAACATTTTTTCTTGGTTGGTTTTACACAATAATAGAAATTTAAACATCTGGCAGGCATCCAAAGTTGACCATTGCTTCATGATGCACATATAATACAAACATCGAAATAGATGTGTAACAACTTTTATTGTTTCAATATGTAACACTTATTTTTAACGCATGCCATGTGAAATAGAATGATGTTTTTCAAACTATGTCTATAACCAGTTCAGTACACGTTTGTTCAGATGTAACTTGTTGAATTTAGTTAAATTTCCAAGTAGACATATATAGGATTGCCTTTTCTATTTATGATAGATACAGAGATTTTCAGTTGTTTTTGCCTGGCTAAAGCAACTTTTATCACTGTCTAGTTAGTTTTGGAAGCACATGGATAAGATTACCATGGATAGGACATAATTTGATAAATATCTAAAACTTGCAAGAATAATTTCTTCTGATGTGTTATTATTGGAGCCACCTGGAATATACTAGTACCTTTTATAAAAAGTTTGAAGATTTCTATATGGAGGTCTCTTCAGTTTCTAATCTGTTTCAAGTTCAGTTTTAGTAATATAAATTATTCTGACATGGTCGATTGAATTTGATTGTCTGGCATAAACATAGCTATTTTGTGCCCTGCACTGTTGAATTTCCAGTCAAATAGTATTTCCAGTCAAATGGTAACATTGAGAAGAAATAGTACCTAGTATTGTTGTCATTGCTGTATTATCAGAAAGTATGCTAAGTGGTACAATGTAATAGCATAGTATTTACTGCCAGCAAGAATTGCGATCTGAAGTTTAATCATATCTAAACATCTTAAAGTTATTTAAATTAATATTCAGCTTGATTGGAAAACAATATTTACAAATACTTCAATAATACTGTGAAAGTTGCTTTCTTCTCAGCTGGATTTCCAATGGGCTATGCAGCTGCTGCTCCTGCCTATTCTCCTAACATGTACCCTGCAGCAAATCCTACATTCCAAACAGGTATGTCTTCAGCAGCATTGTAGATGTCAGTTATTTGAAATATTGAAATAGGTGTTTATGAGTGCAGTGAATTCTGATACGAAGAAATAGAGAGTCAAATTGTTTGGAATTGCAGGACCCCATTTCTGAAAAGGCTGCATGAAGCATAGGAGTATTACAGATACAGCTTTTGCCTCTACTGCAAATAATACTAGATATTACATCTTTCACATTTGTCCATCATGCAGTCTGTAAAAGCGATAGAACCTGTGAGAGCTCGAAATAATAAAGTTTTACAAATAATGCAGAACTTATTAATTTTTTTCACTTGTAGCTCCTTTTGGCCCAAGAAATGTTTACATAACCCACAGTTTAAGAGGCAGTGGTCTATTTGCATGTAATATTTAAGTGAACTAGCTTTTCAGCCATTTTTACATTTACAACACTTGCGTTTATACAGGTTACACACCAGGCACACCATATAAAGTCTCCTGCTCACCCACCAGTGGTGCGGTGCCTCCCTATTCATCATCACCCAACCCCTACCAAACTGCAGTGTATCCAGTCCGAAGTGCCTATCCTCAGCAGAATCCATATGCACAGGTAAAATGTATAGATTTGTTTTTTCCCTTAAATTTATAGCAGATGTGAAGGAATTAAATATTAACCTGTTGGTGTTTTCTATACAAACAGTGGCCATTTTTACTATACCAGTATATGAGCATTGTGGAGCATTCACTAGTATATGCCTTCCCCCCCCCCCCCCCCCCCCCCCCCCCCAGTCCCCTTCGGGGTGAGAAGGGTGGAATATAAATGTTTGAAATAAATAAATATGAACTTAGGATAGGATTCTCTGCAGGCACAGATTGCTCCATGTAAAAAAAAAAGGCTAGCATGTTTTCCTTTGCGTTCAGTTTTCATATGTCCCATTTGTTAAGTACATTTGTGGGGAAAATTGGATTTTTTTAGTCTTATTCTTGGGTGGAATATGTATTTGTGATTGTTAAATATGTCTTTTATGTGTCATGGACATTCGTGGATATTTGTAATGTGATTAGTGACAAACAGCAAAATTATTTCCTACCTCTCATGACAATATCCATTTCTACTTTTGAGGTTTTGTGCCTCAAGTAAGCTTTTAAAAAAACTGGCTACATGTTTCTGAAAGCAAACTACTTCAAGAGGAGATATTACATAAAGATTTTTAACTTCTAAAATGGACTTACTCTGTATCAGGCATCCTCAAACTGTGGCCCTCCTGCTGTTTGGGCCTTCAACTCCCAGAATTCCTGACAATTGAACAAGCTCGTTAGGGCCTCTGGGAGTTGGAGGCCCAAACAGCTGGACGGCCGCAGTTTGAGGATACCTGCTCTATATGGTCCAAATGCACGTAAAGCAGCAGCATTGCTGAAACTAAGCAGGTCTATATCTGACATGCTCATGGGGAGTAGGCAGCTGAAAAATGTTATGATATTTTCAGTTTTTGGAAGAAAAGCTGCATTTAATAATTAGGTCAATATGATATATAAAATTCATTTCTTTAAAAAAAGTCATTCTCAAGTTTGATTAAGTCATTTGCCAACAGTTCCTATCCCCTGTCTTTCTTTGGCTGTAAAGCTTCCTTTTGTCAATATCAGCTCACATCTTCAGGTTGGATTCTTGCCTTCCATATTCTCCATGACTAATTGCTCAGACATAGTTGGCACTGTGGTGATGAACCTGCACCTGGAATGTACCACTCAAATGACAGCTCAGGATTTAGGCTCACTTCCACACAAAGAGTCACTTCACATAAAAGTTGGTTGCCAAATAAAAGCTTCGTCTGGAATCTTAAAGAGTTTTATGTGCAGCTTTTTCGGTAATAAGGAATATGTAGGCCTTGATCTGCTATACCTAGAGTTAGGCTTATTATCTCACTGGAGGTTGTGTAATAATTGAATGCAATGGATGCAATATATAATAAATTGTAAAAGCCAACTATATCCATGTACAGTCCCTGGTTTATGAACAAGACAGGTTTTGTCCCTCAGTTGAATTTGTCTGTAAATTTGAACTGGTATATTTTCAAGTATAACTTCAGCCAAAAAAAAAATTGTTCAGTTGTTTATCATAGCATAGGGTTAATACCCCTGTAATGTTCTTTTGCTACCTGGACCCCTGTTCAAAAGATTTCACCTCACTTTCTGTCCCTGTGACAATTGTATTATGCAAATGTTGGATTGTCATGGAAACAAGGATTGGTACGAAAGCCCTTTTCCCCATGATAACTTACAGGAGTGGATTTCCCTTACAAGGGGTAGATGTCCTCTCACTTTCTGTTATGTCACCCATGTTTGTAACTAGGAGTTGTATATAAGTAATATGTTTGTAACTCGGGAACCGCCTGTACACCTTCTCATAAACTATTATTGTGGAAAAAATACAGATTTTTTTTTTTATCAAAGCCCACTTGGTGGTAGCTACTGATAATACGTTACTTCCAGACATGCACAAAAACAGAAGATTGAAATATACTCTGTCATGGACAATAATTTGTTTCCTCCTAAGGCAAAACAAAGGCAAATATGTTGAACAACACTTGACCTTGTATGCAAAATAAGACTAAGGAAGTAAACTGTTGTACTAAATTGGTGCAGATATTCAAGGGTGGAGAGGTCTAGGTACAAAGCTGCTGTGCTCTTTGTAGAAGGAAAATGAGTGCATTGGAAATTAAATTAGCAATTAACAAAATATACATTATTTTCTTTTTGGAACACCTATTTCCTCCTGGGTTCTAATGGGAAAGGATAATTCTAGCCTACCTTACAAAAAAAGAGGATATTAGCTCTCTTAATTTCATCTCTCTCTGTTTACATCTCTATAAATAATGGAATTTCTAGGGTCTGTGCCTTTTCAAAATGTATGGTCATAGGATTATAGTAAATTAATTATGTGTTTTTCCCCCTTACAGCAAGGCACTTACTACACACAGCCTTTATATGCAGCACCACCCCACGTAATTCATCACACTACAGTTGTGCAGCCCAATGGAATGCCAGCAACTATGTATCCGGCACCAATTCCACCTCCCAGGGGAAATGGTGTCACTATGGGAATGGTGGCTGGGACCACAATGGCAATGTCAGCAGGTTTGTTTCTTATATGCTTCATTTGATGGTGTTGTTATTGTCCTTTTTCAGTCTGGCCAACTTGATGTAACATGATGTAACTATCAGGCAGCTTAGGATAGTGGAGTATTTTGTGCCTGAAAATCCAGCCAATATTCTTGACTAACGTGATTCTCTGTCTGTGAAACCCCTTCTTAATGTGCCCACCATCCTGAGGCAATGAGGTCATCTCATAATAATATGATTTGTTAGGAATTTTATGCTCATCAGCTTCAGTGGATGGTGAGCCTGGAATGTGATATTGGAGACTTTATGTATTTATTAAGATATTTGGGTTCTGGCCTATATCTAAAGATCTCATTATCTTTGTTAATTCATATCCTGAACCCATTTTAATACCATTCATTAGAAGCAAACTATTTTTGTCAAGCAGCAAAATAAAAATATTTCAGGCAAGAGGGAAATCCATCTACAGTAATTAAAATACTGGGCTGTTCATAAGATTTGCTCGGTAGTCTTAGACCAAACAGTCTAGCCTACATCTAATTATTTTCACCAAGAGTAGTCCCATTAATTCTGTGAAATTTAGAGAAATGTTGATATACCAAATTCCCGTTATTTAAATGAGTCTATTCTACTTAAGTCTAACGTTTGATTTCAAACTTTGCCTTAATCCTGAATGCGAATGACAAACATGCCTCATTTGTATAAAGTAGTGGTTCCCAATCTTTAATTCTCCAGGTGTTTGGGACTTCAGCTCCCACAATTCATAACAACTGGTATGATGGCTGGGATTTCTGGAAGTTGAAGTCCAAAACACCCAGAGGACCAAAAGTTGAGAATCACTGCAAAGTGTTGGGCAATGAAAAGAATTCGTGGTTAAAATTTGAAACACTTTGTTATTTCAAAGAAGTTCTGGTGGCTTTTCTCGCTTCTCCATTATGTCTGTATGGAGACAAGTACAAGAAAAGAGCAATTGATAATGGAAATACATTTTTTCTCTTCCATAGGCACCTTGTTGACAACACATTCCCCAACTCCTGTAGCCCCACATCAAGTTACAATGCCCACTTATCGGGCCCCAGGAACTCCAACCTATAGCTATGTGCCCCCACAGTGGTGATTACCATGCAGTGTAAGTATTGGTATATTTTTTAATAATTGTAGCATCTTCTTCACTAGATATCTGTCATCAGTACTTAGCCAGTTCCTTATCCATAATGACCAACAGAAACATTTCTGGCAATATTACAAAATCTCCCTCTAAAAACTTTTGAATTAACATAGTAACTTATTGCCTTGTTGCAATTTATCATGTTTTTTTAAAAGGGAACTTTCCTTATCTTGACATCCCCAACATCAGTTGGAAACATTCCTGGGCATTTTGACATCTTATTTGGAATTAGATGCCGTCTATACGACATCAAATACAGGCTTTCTTTTATATTACTATACAAAATAATTGTTATATCTTTTCCATGCATTGTGCCCAAATTTTGGCCCACCTTATCATGTACTCTTTTACAAGCTCATCTTTTGCCTCTAGTTTCAAAAGCCATGTACACTTTAAAAATGATTTCATAGTATTTTTCTGCTTGACAGGAGAGTTGGACTGTGTGGCCCTTGTGATCTCTTCCAACTTTTTTGTTTCTAAATTAGGTGTTCTGTCAATTCTAGAGTTTTCCTATTGCATCAGTTGGGTTTACTTATATGTTGATACAGTATTCCACAATTGATTGAAATTTAGTTGGAACTAATCAACAGGCTGTGCTCCTGTATATTGCATGAATGGCACCTGTTCTTGGAATGAGGAATATACCCTGCTGTATTCAGCTAGATTGATAGATAATTTAGATGCCTTCTTGCCCTTCCTTGAATCCAGGTTTGAAGATGGGAGATATGCAATCAAGTAACTGAGGTTTAAAAGTTGGTGCTGAAGCCCTCATGCCTCCAACCAGGACTGAATTCTTCTGAATGCTTGCAACCCTTTGCTAAACACTAATTCCAGATCACTGAAGATTTCCCAGTGCTGCATATCTTACATCTTGGAACTCCAACAGTTAGTCTTAAAGCAAATCCTGTTTTGTGGACCGTCTTGCAATTTTTAGCTAATTATAATGAGTAAAGGGAGTATAAATTTATTGATCATATCTAGTTGAATGCATGTCTAAAACTCACAAAGCTTGCTCAATCTACCTGCTGTGACTGATGCAAAAACCGTCATATGCAAAATCCAAAGGAGCCGAAAAAAGTATTTTACAATTAGTATCACTAATGCACTGTTGTAATGTATGCAGGGTCTTAAGGGGTAGAATTGTGACCGTGATTTTTTTCATAGATATACATTAGGAAGTGCTTTAACCTTTTAAGGTTTATGAAAGCACCAGTTAAAGGGGGCCCAGTTAAATGCTATTTTCCTTTTCTAGTTCAGTGACTGGAAAATGAGTAGTTTTTGGGGGGTGGTATATTACAGAGCATCGGTTTACCATACATACCTTTTCCATTTCTTTTTTATTCAGTGTTATATGGACATTCTTAAGGATAAGAATGAAATTTTGTAGGAAATATGTGGTTATCAGTGGAAAAAGTCTTGCTGTCTACATCATCAAGACATTCTAATTTCATTTTTTGCCTCCTGGAAAAATCAGTTTTAGATGATTAATGTGTCCAGAACAAATGTCTGTGCTGCCGATAGTAACAAATTTTCTTTTGATTTCAGCTCTTCCCCCATCCTGCAAATGTGCTAGTTCTGATTAGTTATCAAAATTGCAGTTCAAACCAACTTGTTTTTTAGATAATTGTCTAGGGTCAATATTTTGGCTCAATAGGAAGGAATTCAGTAGCATGTTCAGGAAGAAAGTTTCCATAATTGATCCATTAAAGGGAAACAAACCACTTATATCTTTTTATTGACTTGTTTTCCTTGCCCTGTGGATGGGAATTAAATGTTTTCCAAAAGGAAAAAAAGTAGATGTAAATTAGAAAGTGACCAAGTAGTTATCCATTTGTGAATGGTATTGACACCAGCTTCGCTGCATGCTATTTACCACCTTAGTTGCGTGTGCAAAACGAGAATTGAAAAAAGTGATAGGCATTCTGCTGCAGCAAACCACCCCTGAACTCCTTGCTTACAGCTTTGAATTTCTATTGAAGTACCTCAGTCAATTCTGTGGGGATATAGGGCTAGTCTTAGAATCATTTTGTGCACCAAAATTATTACGGCTTTTAAAGATTTTAGTGACAGTGCTAAAAGCAATCAAGGGCTTTCTTTAAATTGGCATCCATTAGGGAAACAATAATGGGACTTTATTTTCCCCCAATACTTCCTATCTGCAGTAAATTGTGCAGCATATGGTTACAAAATATTCATCTTATTATTGATATTTTTCTGCTAACTTACACTGTTAGTAGAGTATTCACTAGTTTTTGGATTTTTTTTAATTGTGAGACTGAACATGGCTTTGATTTACTTTTGGGATAATCAGCTTTTAAAATCAGGTTTTCCAGCTACTTCATTGCAGCACACATGCCGATTTTATTGCTGCCTTCCCCACATTTTCTTGGGGCAGGTGGCTTCAGCATCTCAAATCCCAGTAGTGTCTGGGGCTTGATTACTCTATTTTTATGGTAGGCAGTCTTTTTATTGTTTTTTACTTAAGTTTTTATATTTTCCATAGATCATTCTAAATAACCCCCCTTGATCCAGATGCTTTTAGCACAACAAAAATCAAGACATTTAATTTTAAGCTTGAGCACTTGTTGTAACCTAGAAAATTCTCCATACAGTGGGCAAAACAGTTCCTACCTTTTGAATCTTTTCTGCTTTGAATGAGTCTGCTTAGTTAATCCATTTGTGAAGTCTTGTTTGTAATTCTGGTTTGCAAAGTGCTCCATGGAGTAGTGATCCTTCAGTAATGGACAAATGTTCAACCTAGCAAGTTTTTAAAGTAATTTTCTTGCTACATATAAATATTGTGAGCTTTGAAACACAGCTGTTGTTGGAGACATGTTGAAACAAATGCAAGCACTGCCCCCACCAGTCTCTTTAACTTCAGTGCCCTGATATTTTTCAGCTAATGCAGCACTTTGTGAAAGGAAAGGACAAGTTATAATTTATTCTTGAGTTTCGGATTTCTAAATGCTTCTTCCTCCTCTTTTGGACACAGCAGTAGCAACAGCCTTTAGATGATCTCACCTGAGCACTTTTTTCTAAGTTGTGTTATGAGATTCATCTGCAAAGGAGGAATAGTACTTCTTGCAAAAGTTACTGCACCTTCCATAAATTCTAATCTGGGTGGTTGGGAGGGAGAGGGCCTTTTACTAGAGGTGGTTCCAGGCCATCGGTAGAGTCCGTAGGGAAGTAACCAAAAGCACAGTGAAGAGAGGATGTATATAGCTTGGTATATTGTTGCAAATAGAAAAGCATGACTATGAGACTGAAAATTTGTACTGAAACTGGGTTATTGGCAGCAGAAGGCTGTTGTGAAATTCTTTCTCCTGCTGTCAATCCATTCCCTGTTTAGAAATCCTGTGGGGAGGGTTTTCGCGGGTGGGCTTGGGAAAACCTCAAATTCTTAATACGTGGCTGCATTGGAATTCCCTAGAAAGCTTTAACAGAAGCTAATGCAGTGTAGACAAGGCTCAAATCAAGCTGCTTTCGAATGAATGCAGCTTTAAAATATACGTAGGAAATGGATTTTTAAAAATTACAGCAATAACAGAGAAAACAGAAGATCTGGGCTTAATTTTACATGTTATGTTTTTGAATAATGTTGAAAGTATCCTTTATGAGACATTGCCAAAGTAGATAACACAGTATTCTGAGTGTGTCTTTAAAACACTAGCAAAATAGTCACATTCTATGGAAACATCAATTGCCCAAGAAACTGATAGATATAGCCATTGGTATTTAGCATTAACCAACTGACAGGGAACTATTTCTCATATTATTAATCCTGTCTATAAATGTATCACTAAAATATTGCCATGTAAAGTGTCTTGATGCTATATGATGGAGATAATTCTGGTGGTTAGAAATTCACTTCAGCCAAATTCCTAAAGCTGAAAAGCCACTTTGAAAACAACATTTCTAATCTATGTAGATTAAAGTTTATGGCACGGTATTTGTATAGCGACATTCCATGGCAGCTGATCTTCAGAGCCATTTTCAGAGAATACTGAATTGATTAAGCTGAGCTTTCTCCTGTTCCAATGTATTTCTGATGAAAGCGTTGGTTGAAAATGGTCTTATGAGACTAGTTTCATTTTGTTATAGTTAAAATGCAAGGAATCTTAGATGCCACTTTTGTTCTAAACACAGCTGAAAAATTCACATCCATTTATTTCAATGTTGACACGATTAGACTAATATCTAGACCTAATATAACGTGACTTCATTTGGCGGGGAAAAATCAGCATTTGTAGTCAGTAACTCCTTAATAGTTGTGACACGTACATAGCATTCTCTACTGGGTAATCTTGTTAGGCAGTGTCAAGGGAATGGAAACTGCTCTGGTGTTAAGCATTTTTTCTATCTGTGCATGTAAGGCACTAAGCTTCAAATCCAGAGCTTGCTTTGTGATCTTTTTTTCATGTGCACCTGGAGATTTCCTGCAAGCTGCCTCCCCTGTTAAATAGAAGGGGCTCCCTCTATGGATGTTCCTTTCCCAGTGTCTAAAACTCTCACATTTAGTAGAAAGGGAAGCTCATGCAGGCAAGGGAGCAACTAGTGTGCAGTGAAAGAACAGTAAGGAAGCTCTTGGTTGGGCTACAAGTTTTCATCAGATCTGGAGAGAGATAACAGATAAGCTCATTTTTGAATTAATTATCTCCAAACTGTCTCCTCAGAATAGCGAAGGCATTTTACTGGTGCTTAGGGGATATTGAAGTGCCAGGCATATTTCATGTGGCATGGAAAAAATTGAATATCCCAGTATCAGGAGAAACATATCAAAATATTCATAACAGTTGGCCTCCAATTACCTGACACCAGTATCTGTGTGACTTGTTCCAATCTGATGTGACTTTTGAGCACTTAGCAAGCAAACTGGGGAAACTTCATTTAGCTTGCTGCTGTACAGACTTGTTTTTAGTAGAATGGATTTGTTAGTGGGATTTTATTGTAGTGCTATTATTGGCTGCCCTTGTGGGGTGAAAGGGGGAGTGCATGCGACAGGTGCAAGAGGCCCCAGTAATAGTGTTTGTTATGAAATAGGCACAGGTTTCCTTTTTTTATAACTTTTTTTTAAAAGACTGTCTTAAAGCAGTTGTATTGGTACTTTTTCCCAAGTTTAGGTCAGTGTTGTCTTCCAGAACAAGTTTAAAGCATCACATTTGCATTGAACTTTTGCATCAACACATAGGAGTGGCAAATCCATTCTGAGCCAATTGTGTAAAATCCATTTTTATTTTTATGCAATTCAATGAGTAGACAAGCTCAGAGTTAAAATTCTTAAAAGCACGTTTATGTAACAGGAATTGTTATGTATTAATACTTCAGTTTTCAATAAAGATTGACTGTGTTGCTTATTGTGGTCCTTTAGTCTTTTTTTAAAATACAGTTGTGTAAGCTCACAGCAGCCGCTCCCCGAAAAGACACAAGACGCCAGTCCGTAATCAATCAGGAAACCTTTT